CCTAGTGGCCACCTTCACATGGTTGTAAAGTGGATGCGAGTCAATCAGCCGTTTGAAATAGTGCCAAGAGATTGGATTTGATCCACGTCAATTAACACAGGTAGGATAGAGAAAGCAAATCAACCAACCAGACGTCAGCAATCCTGCCGTTGTAAGTTCCGGTGAAAATGTTCCATCACAATGATTTCAGATAAACAAGTTTGTTGTTTACCTTCAAAAGTCGTCTGTTATGCAGCTATCTTTTTTCAACATTTACAATAATCAATAACCAATGAGTTGATCTCGGTGTAGGCTGGCCTCAATTAGAATAAGATAGACAAGATCATGTAAATATCCATAGATGTCATAGAAGAGTGAGTGTAGAAATTAGACAGGGTAGCTGTTTGTGTTCAAAAACTCTGAAACCGGTTTGGTGCAAACCATCGCATGTAGCGGTAGTAAACCGACAAAATTTTCACTCATTTTGTCATCTTATATCACTTCAGATTGTGTTTAGGTTTCAGAATGAGCAGCTTGGTAGTGTAGTTTGTGCTTGTGTAAGCGCGCCCGATTTTATTCTGTTTCATTTACGTTGTGTGCATTCATCCAGTTAGTTATTGCCAAATCAATATCTTTAATTCAGCTGGGCATTGTTCGGCAATCAACAATAATGATTTGAACGTGAAGAACCCTTGAAAAATGAATTACCTTTTGGGTTTGATCTAAGTTTTTCATTTTATGCAAACTATTCTTGTTTTATTCCATCAAATTTACAGACAAACATTGAAAAATGCGTTAGAGTCAAATGAGCACTATTAATCTACAATCATTGAAGGGAGCAGAAAGGATAAAGACAACTAAGCGTGTGATACACTCAAGGATTGTGAATATGACATCTCGTCTCAAAAAGTGATGGCTTCACTTCAATCAGGCATATTGAGATCAACTTTCAGTCTTGATTGGCGACCCGGATTAGATAACGACAGTAATATGTGAATTTTTTTGAGTTTTCGTGTCCATAGCCGTTTAGTCTAGTGGGAATGAAACGAAACCCAATGAATGAGGCAGAAGGTTGATTTAGATTTAAATAGTAAAAAAAGTTTCTTAAAGTAGAAATATAAAATCCATTATCTAGAAATGAAAATAAAGTAGCTTTTAAAATAATCTTCGGAAAGACTGAAAAATCTTAGGATAATAGTATTTGTTGTTGCGTGCCACTCTGTAGAGCAAGAATAAAGGTTTCACTTTTTACAACCACTTTCATGTGCCGGTATTGGTTGCTACCTCAAGTATAAAATGTGCACAGGGTAGTCAGAATAATTATTTTCAATCTTTGGTTCTAGAATCCGGAAGATATTGCGAGAGATTAGAACTGACATTTAAGTCACAGTACGGATATTCTTACTCGCAGTGTGCCACAGGTTGAACTACTTTGCAGGGACAGATCGTTATGATTTGAATTTATATTTTGTGTATTAACTACAGCTTGACGAACAGGCTCGTTTTGAGTGCTTCGTAATTGCGCCAGTATATCAAAATATACAGTAAAATTAAAGATAAAATTATTTTTGAGAAGAAAAAAGAAATACATCACAGATAATGCGAGATTGGCTTTAGTTTTGGAGTGGATATGAGAGGTTCTTAATGATCACATTGTGCATTGAATTGGTGACCAATATAAATCCTGCTCGTATTGTGTTGCTTATTTTATTCAAATGGACCAAAGTAAACGAATGCTTTAGACCACATTGTTGTTTTAGACGGTAAATGTTTCGATTATCCCATTCGGTTTTTCACAAGCTGCAGTTGTTGACGATCTAGTGTGGGAGTGTCACTCTTTGGGAGATCGTCAATTCCCCTCTATTTGAATGCATTTAAATGCGGTAGAAATGTTTGTGATACCCGACAAAGAGCACTGGACATCGGTTTCGTCCTGTTTGTTACCCGTCGGCAGGACTTGAACTGCGAACCTTCGGGCTGGGACTTCAAACCCGTACCCCTGAACTACAGGATCGACGGTTATGACCTTGTACGATTGGCTCAATCAGTTTAGATGGTGAATGTTTGGATTAGCCCATTTGGTTTTTCACAGGCACAGTTTGTGTGCTAGAGTGAGTTGCATTCAGCATTAATGTTCGGCAAAACCTAGAAAAAAGGCTATTTAGGAAATTTAAAGTAACTGCAACATCCTGGACTTGATCAGTATCTTCAAAGCCTGAAGAATGGCTAAGAGAACTCAGTCCACAAGACAACGGAATAATTCACATCAATACTGTAGAAAAAAGGTAAATTTTGAACACAGAAAATGCATAACGGAAGAGCACACGTAAGCAAACACCGAATGAAAGTAAGCGCGGGTTATTCGATTGATCCTAATTGATGCACGTTAAATGAATGAAATTATTGGGGTCTGATTGACATAATTAGAACCCACAAATTGATGCATATGGCCAGATTAGATTACGGTTTAGTTTCGGCATAAATACAGGAAATCTAGTCCATCTGGTCACTCTGTCAGACTGGCAATGCAATGAGCGCAAATTTCATTATGGATTGAGTGACAAAGTAGAAAAAGTATATGAAACAATATGGGAAAACAAACCATGTTAAACGAGCACACAAATTGTTCACATGTGAAATAGAAGCGTTTTGTTTAACCTATGAGCTTTGTTACCAGATGAAATAACTATCAAATGAAATTCTTGGGAAACAAAAGGTCCACCTAATTCAAAATAGCCTTTTTCAGTAAGCAATTTTACCGTTAACCAAAGTGATTATTGCGCGTTTACATTTCCAAATCATAAGGAAGAACAGTGAATCAGTTCAGTTCCAGTTTTTGTAACCGTTAACCATGATTTTCGGTCATCAGTTTGCGTTTTGTAACTACTTCTTTTCGATGATTCTCCCATCTGATAGGACGACCCCGGATTTGTGGAATCAGAGTATCGGAGAAGAAAACCCCATCCGAATTATAAGGAAGTAGTAAATTTTGAGAAGGAAATCATCAATTGCGGCAAGAAGGTAATCTTCTGCAACACTAATGTACCGAAATGTGTATTGCAAGTTTCGATGAAAAATAAACTGTTTTTTATGCGTTGACGGTTTTTTTCATACTTGAATCGCTTAAATATATTAGGTTTTGGGAAAATGAAATTGCAGTAAAATCTGTGAGGGATTTGAGTGGATCAAACCAAGAAACTGATTTTATAAAAATGTGCACGTATTCAGCTTTAACACCGTGATAATTTTCTTGTGCATCATCATCTTATGCTTATTGTACACTGGGCATGAAAAAGTAACTTTGAATCACTAGGCAATTCGTTTCACACTGACCTTATGAATACCCGCCAGCAGTTTAAGCATGTTTTTTACTGCGTAAGTTACATAAACTTATGATCCTACTTTCTTTAAAACAAGTTCAATATAAGCTAAGGAATGAAATTCACTTTCATTATCCTACAGCGTAAAAAGAAATTTATAACGTATGTTCTGGCTTGTGGACTGGTGTACGGTTGCGACGAAGATATCTTTCTTCACTTTTTCCGGGTAAGTCCCCTCCCCACAGATTCCGAAATACTCACCTCTTAACAGAGGCGGGAAAATCGTTTCCGGCTTGGCACGAGTTTCTTCATTGTTAATAAAGTAATTTTCCAAAGATCACTAGTGCAAGTGAAATTCTCTAATAGATGTTTTGTAGCTGCATGTATGTGTAGGGTTTTGAATGGATTAAGTAGGTCAAGCCCCTGAACATGAAATTTAAAACAAGAAATACAAGGCTTTTAAATCAGTCCAAAATACACTGATTATGTTAATCGGCTGAAAATTTCTGACTATCTTTAGGATAGGACAAATAGAACAGTAGAATGGCTTCATATGCATATGGTTGGTCAAGTCGAGAGAAATGGTGTTTTCGCAGAATGCAAACATTTTGTCATAATTGCTTAACCCTGAGGTAAAAAACTGAATCTGATCGATTGGTGTCGCCCTAACGCGGTGTAATCGTGGTGAATCACATCTCGGCAGAAAAGTGGTTTCTCGTTCTGGTTGTACTACCATCAGGTAGTTCCCGAATGTGCTTGTTGTTTAAATTCGAGAGGGGGGAATGTTTCGAAGGAAGCACAAAATTAGGTCAGGAATCACATCCATTTCTTCGTTTGTGTTGTTAAGCTGCTAAGGCGCAATTTGTCAAGCATGAAGAGGATACACAAATGAATTCGGTGAATACAAACTAAAAAACAATTCTTTGGGGCCTGGCACTAGGTTAGATCGAAGAGTTCTTTTGATAACACGCCATAGTAGTTCTAGTTTCCTATTCCACACCTGGTCTTATCAAAGCAATCTGTGGTTTTCCATACAGGTGGTAGGCACTTGATCATGGTCTTTTTCTCGAGCATTCTGGGAACATAACCAAAACAGTTTGCAAATGAGGTCAGAATCTGAAATTCAGTGATAAAACACAACGGTTCTCTAGCACTTCACTGATCACTTAATGTGGTTCACGAATATTTGGTTACGGGTGGCGTTGAATTCAACGCATTGAAATGTATGGTCATATCACTGCGCCATTGAAATCGATTTCAATGGTTACTCGACATCTGCCTCAAACAAGAATAATCTTGATGCTATATTTATTTGAAAAACGAATTGAAAGTGTTCAAGTTGTTCAGGCTCAAGGAATATACCGTTTCGAACACATTTTTCACCTCAAGCTGTTCCAAAGGAAGTAAGAAGGTTTACCTGCGTCAGTCTGAAACACTGTTCAGTAATGGTTATTTATTGCCTAGTCGTTACAATCATTGAAGTTTTTGATATGAGAAATAAATTGTGAAAAGTTGCATAGAAGTATATCTAATTGGCGGCTGCATTTTGTTTTTAAACAGCAAGCCTGGATGCAACAAACACCCCTTCCAATCTATTTTTATGGACAAAACATTCTACCGACCATTCACGTGCTGGATTTGGCAAAGTGAGTGATTAAACACGTTGATAAGAGTTTTGTTTTATTCGATCGAATCATTGTTTTCTGAAGTTGAATAGTATTTTATGCTTGGTACGAATTTTTGCTGTGGCTATGCGTTTCCCGAGAACGTTTTTACCGCTACTTGTTATTGTTTGTTCATTCTTCAATTTTGCTGATATTATATACAAGTAAAAATTTAAAACAAAATGTTGATAACTTTTGTGAATTTTTTGCCTGGAAAACAAGTCTGATAATAATGCGAGTAGGTTTAAACAAGTGTCCTTTCTAACAGAAAGTCTAGAAATACGGATATGGTCAGTTTAATTGCGTAGTTCGTGGTTGCATGATACAAGCTATCCAGTTTGCTCAATTACCAATAATTTTCTTATTTTGACCGAAAAAATCTGTGCTCTGTTTGTCGATTATTCTTCCATTTTTACTTCCGTCAATCCATCTTACGTTTCATGCACATTCTCATGAAGCATTCTTTGTTAGCTTGGGATTGATTATTTCACTGTAGTAAGCTATGCAATGCTTCTATTGCTACTGAAACGAAGCTAATGTATCACGATCAACGATAGGGTTTCTAGACCTGTGGCTAACTATTAGCGAATAATTCCGCTTTTATTCCTTTTGTTTGGACGGCGTCCAGAACCGATCGATCACCAAAGTCCTAATCTGATACCTTTGTTAATTGATTAAAAACTTATTTTCCTTTGAGTTGATCTTTTGCTATCATTAACATTTATTGAGCAGTGATGAACAGTCCAGGGGAATTACCTCAAAACATGAATACCAATTGCTCCATCTGTTCCTGAAGTTCTGCTTCGTGATACGACTACTTTGAGACAAATCTAATCATAACTCGTAAGTGACCAAGCATTAAAGAAAAATGATTATCAAGGTGCTGACAACAGCAATGGCAATATTGAATCATTGAACATTATGTGCTTGTTTCTGTCATTAGTTGGTTTGGGAACCGTTAGAAATAACTCTAAGCTTTTATGGCCTTTAAAAAGGCCATTGACATGTATAATGCTATTTTTGAACGATACTGACATTAGAAGATTCTGCTACACGTTGTTCGTTACTCAGAAATTGAAGGGAAAAGTAGGGAAACTAACGCTACTCATTCTATTTTAGTTTCCCTGTCATGCCATTTTGAGAAACGAACAACACGCTTTCATAAAGAGTATCCATGTCACTTGCTATCTATCAGCGCAGTTGTATTCTTTCCAAAACTGTTTACTTGCAAAAATGAGCATTGGTTCAGACAAGCCTTTTTGAATTTTGCGTTATTTCTCTCCCGTTTCCCGTTCAAATCCTCTGGATAGTGTGATCCAAAACATCTCAGACAATCCACCCAAACAACGTTATATCGTGGTCAAAGATGATGGAGCAAACACATTGGCCGAAATAGTCCAAGTGAGCCTCTAAACTTTGTTGGAATGACTACATTTGTGATTACTTTTACTAAAGCAGTTTGTTTTAGTTTGGACGGCGTCTTTGAGATTCTCTCTCCATGAGCTGATTTTGATTGCAATTTTTCGGCACTCCTTTTGTTGACTGAAAAATACGGACAACAGTAACCAAATTAAGATCCGGCATATAGGGAGGCCTGAACAGAAAATAAAATTATTAGATACGCAAAACTTCAACAACTCCAACCAGTCTAATTATTACTTAGGCCGTTTCTTGCAGCACTATCACGAAACTTAAAGCGATTTGGTCAATGTTTTCTTAAGTTTATGACAAGGTATAGTCTGACTACTGTTTATCTTATTTCAACGACATTAGATCATGTTACGAGGAAAGAATGCGTAGCAAACCGTGGGATTTTAGCAATAGACAAAGTTCCGGAAAAATATCAGCTGACATTAACATTCAGTTTAGGAATTGGACAGAATATTCTACTATTCCCGAAATCAATAAAGCCTTTCCAATGTGCACTTTTATTGTAATACAGTGCTTTTCAAGGGGGAACTCATGATAATTTAAATGAATATATTTCGTTTCAAGTGGAATCCATTTTTTGCCATCAGTACTGGAATTCACCTTACTTTGAAAATTACAGAACTCANCGGCCAATCGAGAGACTGGTGAATGGTACAAAGGAACGTGGCCGTTTGGCAGTTTGGTGGCTGGAATCAAACATAGAACCTCTGAGACGATTATACGTTCATCTTTATCATCAGAGAGTAGCTAATTTGTTTACCACGGACTTTGTGGTAGTTAACTGGTAAGATTTAGCGAAACCGTATTTAGACAGCTACCCTTTGACAGTTAACCTGTTGATTGATAAAGCCATGTATATATATAGGCGCGGCGGTCAGACCTTGACATGGCGTAGAGGTATGACGAAGCCAGCTTAAATTTGACTTCGGCCCCCCTTCCAGGGAGGGACCGAAGGGATGAGGATTGTCGTTGGTTAGAGACGCTGAGAGATATGGCCAAGAATAGAAGTCAGTGGCACGAATGTTCTACAGTCTATTTGTTGAAATCCCATGCACCGTAATCAAAAAAGAAAAAGAAAAAACGTACAAACATCAAAAAGTATACGGTGAAACACACAAAAGAATTTTATTATCCCATTTATCTCCCATTTTCCCGTGTTTAACTGTTTCTCCATCTTTTCAC